CATGAATGAGAGAGTTCTCTCAAGCACTTGACCGGCATTTACGGGTAATTATCGGCAATAATAGGCGAAATAGAGTAGAGAAACATTAAGACTTTGGTAGTAAATACATTTCGTGTTTACATTTTTATTTTTTATTGAGACGTTCCAAGTGCCTGTGGTGTTGACGCAGTTATGTGATGATACAACTTGTTTCTCGCAAGACCCTGTCCCTGTACTTTTACATGGTATAACCTCAATTAAGCAATATAGATGTTGCAGCAATATAGGACCACTACGTCCACTCAATGAGATTCACCTTTGTCTGGTAGTTGCCGATTTCAAGGAAATTGCCGCTATACAAAAGAATGCGACTTCAATATTTGCTATTTTATATACTATAGGTTATAACAGCATAAACCTATGGTAATTTTTACACTGGAGTAATCAGTGACATGTACGTTCACTATTACTGAGTATTAGGCGAGACTATATTTTGCAATATCTTTTCTGATTGTACAGTTATTATGAAATTAATAAGACAAAATTAATTTGACCAAAAAATGGGAAGCACTAGACAAATGCATATCAGTCTATAGCCACCACACTAGTAGTAGTAAACGTTAGGGAATATTTTACCCTGACTATCACTCAAACTCTTTACTTTAACATAGCTGGGACTGGGCGTGGGGGTTTGACACAACGAGAACGAGGCTTTTGTGGGTTACCAGACCAGCTATTACTAGTATTAGTATTAGCTAACTGCTAAGCCTAAAAAAGCCTCACTTTACACTTGTCTATCTAAACGATACCAAAATGCAATTGAAAGGAATATGATAATCAGTGTCGTTGTAAGCTATCAATACTTTACTCAGCAATTATAGACCTTAAATTTAATCTGGTAACTAGTAGTAGTATTATTATGAACCTCACCGATAAATCAGGATCGTTGTTGTCTTTGGTTGAGCAGGTACGAACGACTCCTGTAAGCCAATTCCAACTCGATATGTTGGTTGACTTTGCTTCCTTAACCAGTTTGATACATAAACATTTTTTACCAACAAGGCCGTCACGATAACGGACATCCATACTTAAATCTTTGGTCCATGGTGGGCAGATTTTTGCCAAATACTTAACTTTCTTGTACGTGACAAAATCGCTTTTCTAAAACGGCGGATTGATACAAACTTGACCGCACATCCAGGTCAAAGTTCGAGCTTTGGTAAAACAGGAAAGATTTTGAGTGATGGAGTGAGGTATGAAAATCTATAATGCAATTATATATATTAAACAACTGACGACATGAAAAGTAGTAGCAAACATTACAAACCGCGGCCAAGCTAAACACTATATCGTAAAAGCTATCTACCAACCAATGCGAAGGCCTACATCGTATAAACTTTCAAGAGTAAATTATTTTGGTGTAGGTGGCGCTATCACAAAGATGGCAGCCCCCAGTCTTCACTCGGATTAAACATAAAAAGAGTAAACATGATTGATTACCGACTTATGTACGACTACTGGCTCGCCTCACGCCGATCATGTTTCAGCACTATTAGCGATAAAGGCTACATATAAAACGCACTGTGCTAACTCCTGTACGTTGTATACATTTATTACATTAGTACTAGTAGCTGATTAGGCATTACCATAAAATCAGGAGTAAGATAATATAGATATATATTATCTTACTCCTGATTCATTGATCAGTTTCACTAACGAGATCCATATATGCGTCTCACTCAACTACTCATTCCAGGTTATAGGTCCCGTGGCTGTGAGCGTCATCAAACAAGCATTGCCACAATTAGATACTCACGAATATCCGTGCGATCGTACACCGCTTATGACTATATAGTAATCGAGTAAATATCCTTAATAGTAGTAGTAGTAATGCAGACAATCTAGCTACTGCATATTGTCTGCAGTAGCACAATGCGACAATCACGGCAATGGCAATCAGCAGTTGATATCACTTTATGGTAATCCA